AAGATGTGACAGTTTGGCCTTTGCCCTAACTTTTGAAGACGGTAATAAGCTCTACCAACAGGATGAATGAAAGAAACAATGAAATAATAAAGTTTAATTAGAATGTGTGTATAAAACTCTGCAGGTAGTTCAGAATGCACAGGTTACTAGGGATAACTTCAATTGTTTGGGGAGTGTCATTGCATTTTAAAACTCCAATGGCAACCGAGGCTTACTTCTGTGCAGTCCTTTCCATTCTGTTGTCTGTGTATTTGTCTATTTCCACTGCTTATAGGGTTGCTATGAGTCAGAACTGACCCAATGGCAGTGGGTTTGGTTTTGGTATGGGCTTTTTGAGGGCTTGTGCTTTCTTCTTTATTTTATCCATATTGCCTGGCACAGTGCCTAATACTGTTGATTGAATGATCAGCCAATATTTTAGTGCCCACTGTGAGCTACAGTCTTTGCTAAGCACTGCCTTGGAAACCCAAGGAGGGGTCGCTATGAGTTGGGGCCTACTCGACGGCACATAACAACAACAACAACAACAACAAAGCTAATTTATATGAATTCCAGTTGTTAAAAAGGCAGAAAGTTGATGGATAGGCTTGGGGAGAAATGAGTGAAAAGGAATGAGGGATGTGTGGTAGTGAGAGTTTTATTTCATTAGTTTCAAACTGGAGAAATATCAACACAGGGCCAGAGTGAAGGCTTAGAATACACCTAAATGAGAGGAGGAGACATGTGGCAAAGTCTTCATATTTCTTTTGGCTTGACATCAAGTAGCAATTATCCAACTCCCTGTTTTTCTTGCCACAACCAACAACTCCATCATCCAAACATTACTCATCAGAATTCCCAAACCAACTACCAAATACAATTCTAGGAGAGCCAGGAGGAGAAGTTTTAAAGACTGTGTGTTACAACTTTTCTTTACATTTTTTCTTTATAATAAGAACCTGCACAAGTTTAACTTTCTGTGATTATAGACAGGCTATGGTTTAGTTTAATTAATATCTAGGGTCTATAGATTGAGAATATTTTCTGAAATGTGTTCATTAAAGTATTCATTATAAGAAAACAATTTATATGTACTATAGGTTGGGCAATCTACTTCCGTAGTGATACTGCCTCAGAAACCCAAGGAGGGGTCGCTATGAGTTGGGTCCAACTCGATGGCACATAACAACAACATATTATTTGTTATAAAGGGATTTTCATACTCTACAATCCCAAATACAAACTTCATATTTTTTAAGCTGAAAAACAGCTTAACCACATTTAATGCATTAGAAAAATATAAAGCTGATGTCCATTCATTGTATTTTGTTTTTAAAGCCAGATTTATTGAGGTATTGTTGTTAGGTGCTGTTGACTCAGTTCCAACTCAAAGAAACCCTGTGTACAACAGAACAAAACACTGCCTGGTCCTGTGTGATCCTCACAATCGTTGCTATGTTTGAACTCATTTCTCTGTTCAAACGACTGCCTCTTGGTCTGTGTACAGTTTCCACATGCACACAAAGAAGTGTTCTGGAATTCCCATTTTTTGCAATGCTATCCATAATTTGTTATCATCCACACAGTTGAAGGCCTTCGCATAGTCAATAAAACACAAGTAAACATTCTTCTGATATTTTCTGCTTCCAGTCAAGATCATGTGACATCAGCAGTGATATTCCTTGTTCCAAGTCCTCTTCTGAATCTAGCTTGAATTTCTGGCAGTTTCCATTGATGTACTGTTGCAACCATTTTTGAATTATGATCAGCAAAATTTTAGTTGTGTATTATATTAATGATATTGTTCAATAATTTCTGCATTGTTGGATCGTCTTTCTTTGGAATGGGCACAAATAGGGATCTCTTCCAGTCAGCCAGATAGCTGTCTTCCAAATTTCTTGGCATAGATGAGTGAGCATCTCCAGTATTGCATGTTTGTTGAAACATTTCATTTGGCATTCTGTCAGTCTCTGGAGCCTTGATTTTTTGCCAATGCCTTCAATGCAGCTTGGACTTCTTCCTCCAGTGCTATTGGTTCTTGATCATATGCTACCTCCTGAAATGGTGGAACATTGACCAATTCTTTTTGGTACAGTGACTCTGTGTATTCCTTCTATATTTTTTTTGATGCATTCTGTGTCATTCAGTATTTTGCCCATGGAATCATTCAATAGTGTAACTTGAGGCTTGAATTTGTTTCATTTTTTTCAGCCTCAAAAGCTTCCCTTTTGTTTTCTAATTCCAGATCTTTGCACATTTCATTATAATATTTCACTCTGTCTTCTAGAGCCACCCTTGAAATCTTGTTCAGCTCTTTGACTTCATCATTTCTTCCATTCTCTTTAGCTACTCTATGTTCAAGAGCAAGTCTCTTCTGACATCTATACTGGTCTTTTCTTTCTGTCCTTTTTTTGTTTGTAATGACCTTTTGCTTTCTTCATTTATAATGTCTTTAATGTCATCCCACAACTCATCTGGTCTTCAATTATTAGTGTTTAATGCATCAACTCTATTCTTGAGATCATCTCTAAATTCAGAGGGGATATACTCAAGCCCGTAATTTGGCTCTTGTGGACATTCTTTAATTTTCTTCAGCTTCAACTTGAACTTGTATATGAGCAATTGATAGTCTGTTCCACAACTGGCACTTGGCTTCGTTCTGACAATATTGAGGTTCTCCATCATCTCTTTCAATAGATGTAGTCTATTTGATTCCTGTGTATTCCATCTAGTGAGGTCCATGTGTAGTCACTCTTTATGTTGCTGTCGAAAGGTATTTGCAATGAGTAAGTTGGTCTTGCAAAAAAGTGTTGATGTATAATGTACATAAAATTTTACTTTTTTTGGTGTACTGTTGTATTAATTTTGACAACAAATTCAGTAGTATGACCACCATCAGAAATAAGATATAGAACATTTCTATCATTCCAAGAAGTTCTTTTGCATTCCTTTGTAGAAATATTCTCTTCACCAACTCCCCCCCAGTACTGATCTGTTTTCTAGTCCTGTAGTTTGAACTCTTCCACTATTTCATATAAATAGATACAGTATTTAGTCATTTGAACCCAGCTTCTTTTCCTTAGCATGCTGCCTTTGAATTTAAATCATGTTGTGTACTTTATTACTAAGAAGTATTTCATTTAATTGATGTATTGTATTTTTTTTCCCCTCATTCAGTTGATGGGCATTTGGGTTGTTTCCAGGCTTGGTGAGATAATGAATAAATATGCTCTAAACATTCCTGGACAGGTATTTATGTAGAAATACATTTTCATTTCTTTTGAGTAAATATCTAGAAGTAGGATTGCTGGGTCATCCGTTAAGTGTATGTTTAACTTTATAAGAAACTATGAAACCACAATTTTGTATCATCAGCAACGTATGAGAGTACCAGTTGCTCTGCATCATCTCCTACATTTAGGATTGTCAGTTAAATTATGTTTTAGTCTAATAGTTGTATAAACCAAATCCAGTCCACTGCCATCAAGTCAATTCTGACTCACAGTGACCCCTATTGGGTTTCCAAGGCCGTAAATCTGTACAGAAGCAGACTGCCTTGTCTTTCTCCCTCAGAGTGGCCAGGGGGTTTGAACTGTGGAACTTTCAGTTAGCAGCCCAATGCCTTAACCACAGTACCACCAGAGCTCCTTAATAGTGGTATAGTGGTATCTTATTGCTTTTAATATGTACTTCCCTAAAAACTATTGAGCATATTATCATATGCTAATTTACCATTTGTATATCTTCTTTGGTGAAGTATCTGTTCAAAAAGAGTGGCTGTTACAGATATCCAGAGAGGGGAGCACATAAATGGAATTGGGGAAATAGTGGCTAGAGTTTCTGAGTTGTAGTATTTGCTGCTACGTAGGTTTTGGACACTTGATTATAGGGAAGTATATCTCCACTGAAATAGGGCTTGTCATCAATTTAGAGTACAGAGGGTAGGGTCTACCTGGCAGAGAGAGTCCCACACAAATGGCCTGGTGATTAGGGCTCAGGTCCTGGGAAAACTGGAGCTCAAAGAAGGAAGATACTAAAGAAGGCTGCTACTTGGTGGACATAGGTAATCCAGGATTCACCAACAAAGATAAGCTACAGTCTTAGGGACATAGACTAACTTATTGGCTAAGGGATGTGTGAATGGGCTGACTGTAATTACCAGGTTTTCAGAACTAAACAGTAGGCAGGGCTGGGCAAGGCAGGGATCTAGAGGTATTCTTTTGGTCATGTTGATATCACCATATCCTTGGCAGTGCTTCTCAAGTTCACTTGATATGACACCAAATAATTCAGGTGTGGATGAAATAATTTTACTGGGTTGGTTAGTATTAGGAGATATTTCTTAAGGTCATCCAACAATTGGCCAGAAGCAATAAAGTAATGGAAAGAGAATAGGCACAGGGCAATGTGAGAAGTAATTGTGAGAAGTAATTTCCAATTGTAATTGGAAAATGTGAAATTTCCAATTAATTTTATTTTGGGGGTCTTATTCTGGGTATTTCAAAATTTCTAGGAACAAAACAATTTGAAGCCAGAGAGCTGTGAGCTTTCCACATACTATGTATCTTTACGAAAGAAAGACTGGCAACTCATAGACTTCTTACTCAGTGATCTTAAAACAGTCTCTGCAAATAAGATTTAAAAACTTCAGGGAAACCCTAACAACAGTAATTCAGTTGGAAGACTGGATAAATCAACCTTCAAATGCTATCATTTGCTAATCTTTAATGCTAAAATTATTATCGAAGATAAAGATAATTCTGACCAACTCGGATAGTTTGCATCAGTAAGAAAGTTTATTGAAATTCATCAGTAAACGAGAATATAAAGTTTTTCTTTAAAGAACACTTTCTGGTAAAGTGAGAAGAAGAAATACAGAAACCATGAACCACATTTTAGACAACTTATTTCCAAGGAGTAAACCTGTTTCCATAGACCATTAAGACTGAAGTGTTTTCTTGGAGATTTTGTTTTCCACCTAATGGCCTGTGTGAAGGGAGACTCTTTCCTCTCGATGAGGCTTAATAGTAGTGTTTCTTGGTTTCTGATTCAACCATAGACGAAAGGACACTACCATCAGGTGCCACCTCTTCAATAATTGTCTTGATTACTCTGGTCTTGTTAGTATCTGTAAGTAAATAATGAAAAAATAATTTGGAATTTAGACTAAACGCTGTATAGGAATCTTTACTAATTAACAACTAAATGCTTTTTCCCCCCTTTTTAAACTACATTAAATGAAAAGAAAAGAAACGCAACTTTTTACACTGCTTTAAAAAAAATTCAAGCAATGCTTAAGGAGCAGCATTTAAAGAGCTCTGGTGGCGTAGCGCTTAACTACTAACCAAGAAAGCTGGTGGTTCAAACCCACCAGCCACTCCTCGGAAAGAAGGTTGGACAATCTACTTCCGCAGAGATACTGCCTCGGAAACCCAAGGACAGGTCGTTATGAATCGGAACAGACTCTACTGCAGTGAGGTTTTTTTTTTTCCCTATCGTTCTTTCAAGATTGGTGTCAGGATATAGTTTCAAATAAATGCAAGTAGGAATCTTCTCTAAAATTCTGGTATTTTAAGAACAGTTACAGAGCTTCAAAAGCAACAGAATCACCACAGAAAATTAAAACTGATTTTGATTACCCCAGCTAGTTTCTGCTGACCTTGGTCCTTTTGTTGGGGACTCTCCACCAGACGCAGAGGAGGAACTCTTGTAGCCTCCACTTCCGCCCTGGCCGCCGCCGGAGCTGCTGCCGCCGCCGCCGTATCCACCTCCCTGACCGCCGCCGGAACCGCCGCCACTAGAGCCGCCGTAGCCACCGCCTCCAGAGCTTCCACCGCCGTAGCTGCCGCCGCCGCCGCCGCCGCCGGAACTGCCTCCGTAACTACCACCGGAACTTCCTCCGTAACTGCCACCGGAACTTCCGCCCCCGCGGCCGCCGCCGCGCCCGCCGCTGGAACTGCGGAGAGGGACAGTCACATTTAGTTAACTCAAATACTGGTAGACAGTGAGCTTATCGTTACTTTAGAAAATAAGCGGGGCATGTGTTGAGAAAAAACAACCCTATAAAATGTGCATATTAAATTCACCCTTAGAAATGGTTTTGTATACACAGCTTCAAAGTCATGAGAATTTAAGGCTGGTTGCATACGCCTTTTTTTTTGTACTCAGACTCCTTGTGGTTTTGGAGAAACCTTGCCCTGGGGGATATCAGGTAAAAACATAGCTTGGGATTTGTTTTCCCCTAGTTTACCTTCCCTCTCCTTCTAGCAGGCTGCGGTAGGTTTGAATTTCATTCTCCAGTCGGATCTTAATATCCAGGAGTTGTTGGTACTCGGCATTCTGGCACTCGGTTTCAGCTCGAATCTGCTGCAGCTGTTCCTCCAGGGCGCTGATCTGGGACTGAATCTGTGACAGCTGCACACAGTAACGGCCTTCGGTTTCTGCCAAGGAGGCTTCCAGGGATTGTTTCTGAGAAGAGAAAATAGAAAATACTGTGGCTTAGTGGTCCCGTTGTTCAATTGAGTTCAATGAAGTAACAAATATGGGCAGATAAAGAAAATGAGTAGAAATTGTGTTTTATGTCTAATGACAGCATTTCAGTCTCAGCACTTTCAGGTCAATGCTAATATTCCTCCCCTCCAGCCTCTTAACAAACAATTCCAGTTTTATTTCTACTTTCTTACCCTAACTCTGCATTTCCCTTTTATGTTGCATGTCTTATTGTTGCTATTCATATGTTTACATAAAAGTTTATATAATAAAGTTGAAGTCATTTCAAGAAAGCGTTATTAGCATACCAGGGCCAATTGCGACTGTAGTTCGATCTCCAAACCTTGAACGGTGCGTCTCAATTCGGTAATCTCAGTTTTATAGCTGGATATTTGTTCAATGTTACTGTCGATTTCTGTAGTCAGTTCCCGGCTCTAGAATATTAAAAAACAGAGGGAAAGATGAGAAAATTCTGAAGTGATAACAAAACCTCCTTGGGCTTCACTCTGAAGGAGGATTACCTTTTCATTAAACCAGGCTTCAGCGTCTTTGCGGTTTTGTTCAGCAAGTTGTTCGTATTGGCTTCTCATGTTATTCAGAAGTTCAGTCAGATCGACACCTGGGGCAGCATTCATTTCCACGTTCACATCACCAGTAGACACATTCTGAAGGTCTTTCATTTGCTGTGCAAGGGACAGAAAAATTTAATGATGTCACAGTGACCACAACGAGCCCTATTTTGGCTAGAGGAAGTCTAACTTGTGCATCACCTCTTCATGGTTCTTCTTCAGGTAGGCCAGCTCTTCTGTCAGGCTCTCGATCTGCATCTCCAGGTCGGATTTGGTCAGGGTCAGCTCGTCCAGCACCCGGCGCAGGCCGTTGATGTCGGCCTCCACACTCTGGCGTAGGGTTACCTCATTCTCATACCTGAAACAAGCATGATAAAAATAGTAGGTATAACTTATGGAGGGAAGTGTATCTTGGCAGAGATTGTTTAAAAGTTAAGGTAGAGTTGATTTTATGTCATTGCAACATTAATCATATACTAATTTATATAGAAATATTAGTGGTTTAATGCAGAGAAACTTAGCAGTTACTTTCAATGCACTTTCTTCCTTTAATATTGTCAAATAAGTAATATTGAAATTGACTGTTTCTCAGACAACTACAATATATTTAACTTTGAGTGAATTCAGAAAAATATAAATGCTGTTGTGGAGCATCCAAAGCCATTGTGAAAAACAGTTGATGTATCTGTTATGACAATGTTGTACCACTCTGTGCTTACTTCAGCCTGAAGTCATCGGCTGCCAGCCTGGCATTGTCAATCTGGAGCAGGATTTTGGCATTGTCAGTTGTTAGAGAGATGATCTGGAGGGAAAGGCACAGTTTTTTTTTTTTAAAAAAAGGTCAGATACAGATATGGCTTTTATAGAGCCATAGAGGCCCTACATCTTTGTGCTTTTCTCTTACAAATTCTTTCAGAAAGTTTTATATTAAGTAGAAAATATTGCAGGCTTACCTATATGCTCAAATTGAAATAGTTTGTTCTCTTCAAGTTTCTATACCCTTCTATTCTATCTTGTCATCTCTTTCTGATCACTAACTGGAATGATATACATGCACTCTTGCCAGCGTGTCTACCTTTGTTACACTCCATTATTTCCTTGTATTTTGGCATGTATTTAACTGACTGACACCTGCCTTTGGTTTGACTTATTATAAATAATAATAATAATAGAAACCAAACTCAGTGCCATCAAGTTGATTCCGACTCAAAGTGACCCCATTTGGGTTTCCTAGGCAGTAAATCTTTACAGAAGTGGATTGCCCATTCATCCTTCTGCAGAGTGGCTGGTGGGTTTGAACTGCCAGCCTTCTGGTTAGCAGTCAAATGCCTTAGGCACTGTGCTACCAGAGCTCCTTCCAAACTGCTACAAAGTAGGTGCACTTATAAATCTGAATAATTTCTGACACAATAATTCTTTCAGTTCTTAAATTTGTAAATGATCTAGTGTACTTTAACTGTGGACTCATTATGCACTCATTAAAACCTAAAACATTTTCAGTAATTAACTATCTTACAAGACAAACAACCCCCATGTTAGACTGCCATGGGCATACCCTCACAAGTACTCATTTTTTTGTAAGACTAGATTATTTTTGGAAGGAAAAAAAAAAGAACATTGGTGAAACACAGTAAACAGCTACATTTTGCTTAATTTAAGATTCATCTATCTGAATTATATTAGTGAATAGGCTTAAATTTGGGTTTAAAAATGCCCCTTACCTGGTCTTGAAGATCTTCTATGATTTTATAGTATTTGCTGTAGTCACGAGGCTCTCGCTGGCCTGAGTGGCCATGCTTTTCATACCACTCCTTGATTTTGCCTTCTAGCTCATAGTTTGATTCTTCCAGAGCCCGGACTTTGTCCAAGTAGGAAGCCAGGCGGTCATTTAGATTCTGCATGGTTACCTTTTCATTCCCGGAGAGAAGGCCACCATCTCCTCCAAATCCACCACCAAAGCCACCTCCTCCAAAGCCACCTCCTCCAAAGCTGCCTCCACCAAAGCTGCCTCCACCAAAGCCGCCACCACCAAAGCCGCCACCACCATAGCCGCCACCAAAGCTGCCTCCGCCATAGCCACCACCAAAGCTGCTGCCTCCCCCAAAGCTGCTGCCTCCCCCAAAGCTTCCACAAAAGCCACCTCCACCAGAGCCTCCTCCTAGTCCTCCCCCATAGCCACCTGAGGAGCCCCTAAAGCTGACTCCACTAGAGCTTCCCCGGCTACAAGAGCCAGAACTGAACCCTCCTGAGCTAAATCCTCCACCCTTGCAGCTTGAAACTCTGAGAGATGACACTGCGCCTCCTCCTCCTCCTCCTCCTCCTCCACTACGGGAGCAAGAGTATTGCTTGCTTGAGCTGTATCGAACAGACATGGTGATGCTGTTGAGTTGAGCCCAGGAAGTGTTGCTATCCAAGGGCAGTGTCAAGCCCTTATATACTGAGAGGGTGTGTCCCATGTGCGTTAGGGTTTGCTTACTGGCATAGTTTTCTTTTTGTCAACTTAGCATCTTTGGCTTATGATTGCATAAATTATCTTCATTAATAACCAATCCCAATATGTATGATTTTGAATTTGCCCTAAGAACAAACAGGAGATTTGCTGTGATGAAACTGAAAATGGGTGGAGTTCAGATGAGCATGTCTTGCATTATACTTTGTCACCTTTTAAGAACATTAAGCAACTGTTAAAATTCCTTTTTCTCAGCATTCAGGTTGCTCAGAATGTTTGCACATTTTGATAAGAAAGAATTTTACCTATAAAACTATAGCTAAAATAAGATTTTCCAAATTCATATTTTAAACAGTTTTAATGTATTGGAGCAATAAATAGCACAAAGTCTGCCAATGTCATGCTGTGATAAGGATCTTGTAGAAAACTGTAAATACCCTCAAAGAAAGTTTTTTAAAAAATAAGCAGATTAATTAGTGTTCAAATGATGCTGCATATAAAAAGTTAATTGAAGCCATAAAAGCCCAATTTAGGAAATGTTTATACATATTCAGGAATCTTTTAATTTATTTGAAGAATCAGTGTATATTGATATATTGCCTAGGAAATTGCAAGTGAATAATGTTTGAGGAATCTTGTGATTTACTGATGCCATTATTTAGGAACTGTTTGTACATATTAAAGAATCTTTTAATTTATTTGAACAATCAGTGTATATTGATATTTTGCCTAGGAAATTGCAAGTGAATAATGTTTGAGGACTCTTGTGATTTAATGATGCCATTATTTTTAACATCAAAAAATCTACAATCACAAAATGATCCTGAAGGTTTTTGGACTGTAAACCTCAGCACAGTAAAGGCTTTAATGAAAACTGTAATGCAGAAATTCTTAGCATAAGATATGAAGAAATAACTTCTAGGCCTTTTTTACCCTGAGTTCTGATTAACTGAAAAGGGAGAATTTAGATATGATTGCCAGTAAAAGATGTGCCTGAGAACATATAAATCCAGACTGTGGTGTGGTTAAGTGCTGCTCAGTTGGCTCTGACTCACAGCGACCCTCTGTACAACAAAGAAAGCACTGCCCAGTCCTGTGCCAGCCTCACAGTCTTTGCTATGCGTGAGTCCATCGTTGCAGCCACTGTGTCAGTCCATCTCCTTGAGAGTCTTCCCCCTTTTCGCTGACCCTCTGCTTTACGAAGCAGGATATCCTTTTCTGGGGACTGGTCCCTTCGGACATCATGACCAAAATCCATGAGACAAAGCCTGACCATTCTCACCTCTAAGGAGCATTCTGGCTGTACTTCTTCCAAGACAGATTTGTTCGTTCTTCTGGCAGTCCCTGGTATCCAGACTAAGGAATACTATTTGCTCCAAAGATTATTACTTAAACTGTGCATATATATTCCTGAGCCAGATTCTGTTTCTCAGTAGAAAACACACTTCCTTGGAAATACTGAGTACAGAATTTGATAAAACAAATGGTCTGTTTTAAGCATCTAATTTTAATTTTTTAAATTGGGGCTGGAATGTATGATATAAAATTATTTTCAATCTTATATAGACTGGTATTTCTATCATTCACATACACACACACACACACACATAATTTGCATTTATATAGTGCCTTTTGTGATCTTGTCATTTTATAATCTCTGAAACAACCTGAAGAGGAAGTTGAAGATGAAAGAGGTTATGGTTTTGCCTAAAGACATATAATAAGTTGTTGAGCTGGGATTAGACCTGACTTTTGGGTTTTTCTTACTATATCAATGTGTAGTCATATAATCTCTGCTCTATTTAACAGTGGATCTGGTCTGATAGAACTGAATGTCTCTATTTCTTACTATAAACTTCTCCACATGAGAAAAAACAAAGCAAAAATAACTTGGAATTGTGAAAATGTTGAAAGGGTAATGTCTTTGACACACACTCTTTGGTTATGAATTGTTTTTTTAAATCAGATTTATAGCTGCACATTCCATCTTATGAAAACTATAGAAATAGTTTCTTCAAGGACAGGGAATGTGTTTGGGTGTGCTAATGAAGAACTGGTTGCCAGGATTGAGGTTACTACCCAACAACTCACAGTTCCTCCAACCTGTTCATACATGCAAGCAGGGCAGTAGTTAAAAGAAAATAAAAAAAATTCCAACCATGGGAATTGATCCTCAATGAAGATAACATACAATAAAGGGCAACTATGATAAATCAGGATAGGAAAAAAAAAAAAAGATTTCAGTAAGTTCAGTGAGGCTGTTGAAACCTTGATATTAATGAAAGCTTTTTGGAAAGAAATTTTTTTTTAATTGAAGATATGTTTTGATAGATTTTACCTATGATTATCAGAAATGTAGGGACCTTGATCTTAGGAGTTTTGCTTTAGCATCAGCCTTTAATTTTTACCCCCAGTGGGAAAATACAAAAATTTCAATCTGGTTTTAGGTAACAAGTGGTGTGAAGAGATCTCTGTTATAATAATAATAAATGAAAGTAGAGGAGAAAGGGAACTTTTGCATAAAAGTACATGGGAACAAAAAAAAGTATGGCCTTCCAGTATCCATTGTAACATGTAATATTGGTCATCTTTAATTTTATTACCAAGGATAACTTATTAACTGGTATCCTTGAGAAATTAATTTGTCTTTGCACTGCCACTTGGTGAAATCGGCCTTTGACATGAGTGAAATTACAGATGTGCCATGTAATATTAATTCTACAACTAAATTGGATGAAAATTCATGATTGCCACTTTTGGTCTTGGCACCATGTATCCTTAATTGCCAAAATCCATTGTTAACTGTAATTGTGGTGTTCTCAATTTTTATTGTGTCTATGTAAAGCACACTAACAGATGTTTATAAAATAGAAAGATGAGTGAGATTCAGACCCTTCCCTTAAGAATCTTACCAGTTGCTACTTTCTAACTGAGAAGATATGACATATATTGTCAATTTAAGTGTTATATAAATGGGAAATGATTGGAAGAGGAGTTAACATTTCCTGAACATCCACTGTGTTCCAGATGGTTTACTCTCCTTTAATCCTCTCCCATGTTCTATAAAAGAAGTATTATTGACCTCATTTTACAGCTGAAAAAAAAAGTTGGAAACTGCTAGTTTATGCTGGAGCCTGGTTTTGAACATGGCTGGTTTTCGCAGTAAACTGCCATGGTAAGATGTATGGGCAAGAGGTCCTGTTGGAATGGAGAGACCTGACAGTTTCATGAAGCAGGTGATATTGAAGCTAAGTTTTGAGAAGGGTGGGTAGGATTTTCCACATGTGCAGATGCAGAGGGGACTGCTCTGGGGAATGGGGACTATGAAAATGCAAAGTAGGTAGAGATTCTAAGTGGACCAGTTTGGCTGGAACAGATCATCTGTATTGGTCAAACTCACCAGGTTTTATTAAGCACCACAATACAGTAGGCCCTGGGGATATACAGGTGAGTAAGATATAGTTCCTACCCCTCAAGGAGTTTATAATCAAGTTGGAGAAGGATTATACTATAGGGTAATCGGGGTGACATTTGAGGAGTGCACAGGGTGTTGAGGGCATACATGATGGGTTCTAACTCAGTCTATAGGATGGTGTGTGTGATGGAACATGAAAGAATAGTCAAGCCAAGTTTTGAGGAGGTGAGTTTGAAGTAAACTCAAGATGATACTAGAATATTGATGTAAAACTGTCTTTCAGCAATAGTCATAGGACTACAGTTCAGAAAAGAGGTCAGAGCAGCAGGCATTTGGGTAGATAGGATCCTTGAGGGAAAGAATTCAGAGAGAAATGAGCAGACAGTCTAAACCTGAATTTTGGGGAGAGCTACTTTACAGGCTGGGAAGAGTAAGTGGAGCTAGAGGATTATACCCAGGAGGAGTGGTGTACACCCAGGCTGGGAGTGGGGAAGGCTCATGAACGCCAAGGGAGAAGACAATCTAGATAAAGTGAGGTAGTCACCAGAGGTCAAGGAGAAAGGAGATTGAAGAAAGACCATTGGTTTGACAGAAACCGCTTACCCCCTCCCAGAGGACAAGTTTAGTGGAATAGTGGCGGGGCAATCCATGATGTATATTGATTGATCCCTTTGCTATTGGTGTTTCATTTTCATGCTTTTATCCAGTTTATCAATTTCTTCTGTATATTGAGTCATGGTGAGGATGGGTAGCAGCACTATTCTCATGGGGCTAATTTGTCTGGGACCCCTGAAACATTTTGTTGAGTCAGCTTTGTTATCAGCTTGATTTGTCTCACTGTAGGGATTTGATCTTTGCTAATTTCTTATTTGGCTTTTAAGTAAAATCTTCTTTTGAAGTTTCTAGCTGAAAACTCTAAGTTCTTTTCTTTGAGTAATTGAGACAATAATTTAGGTAGCTACAAAAAGGTGAATCTGGTAATGTAAGTTATGTCTCAAGGAGACAAGATTGATGAGCTAAATATTTAGAATTTACTATTGTTTATCCCTTGGGAGCTCTGGTAGCATAGTGCCTAAGGCACTTGACTGCTGACCAGAAGGCTGGAGGTTCAAACCCAACAGCCACTCCTCGGAAGGAAGACTGAGCAATCTACTTCCATAGAGATACTGCCTTGGAAACCCAAGGAGGGGTCGCTATGAGTTGGGTCTGACTTGATGGTACATAACAACAACAACAACAATTGTTTATCCCGATAGAAAAAGTTTGGGAGTCAGGCATTTTCTACTAAATATCCTGTGACTTTGTGCAAGTTGCTGAATGTACATTTGTGATTGTTTCCCATAGAATCAAAGCAAAGTGGACAAATGTACAAAATCTGAAGACGGTTCCATTACATACAAATTCTCTGTAACTTCTGGTGTAGCACTGTGATGGAAGTCACAAAAGTATGGGAACCCCATGAAAGCTTTCAAGTATAGGGTGCCAGAGTTGTTAGACAGGTGGGCTCC